TTTCGCTGGGGCCGGACGCGAATTTGATATCCAGCATGAGTTTGAAAGGGCCGCCGAGTCCTTTCCAGTCTCTGTCTGGGTGATCAGCCTTGACGTGGCCAACGACCCCATCCGCGGTGATGTTTCGAGGCCGGAGACGATCCGATTTTGGTTTCGTGCCATGGCTGGCGGCAAGGTCGCCGGATTCTGGGCTGGCCCCCCGTGCGAGACATGGTCGCAGGCGCGCCTCCGTGACACCACCGTGTGTAGGGGTCCCCCGCCTAGGCCTCTCCGCACCCCTGACAAGCCCTGGGGCCTCGGCGACCTTACCCCCAAGGAAGCCAGGCAGGTTGAAGCGGGGAACCTGCTGCTCCGCACGACGATTTACTTCCTTTTCGTTGCCCTGCGCCTCGAAATCCCGGCGGTGATGGAGCACCCTGCTCCTCCCTTCCGTTTGGGGCCCCCCTCGGCGTGGAAGCTCGACGAGCTGGAGTTCCTCCTCAGGCGGCCCGAGGTTGAGGGGGTCCTGATCGACCAGTGCGTTTTCGGAGCGCCGTTGATGAAGCCTACTCTTCTCCTCTCGGTTCACCTTGCTGCTCTTGGCCTGGGGGCTCGGGCTGCTCGGGGGGGCGGGAGGTGCTTCCATGGCCCTCGAGGCCACGAGACCCTAGCGGGCATGGAGGGCAATTGGCAGTGGCGTACCTCTCGGGCTAAGGCGTACCCCCAGGGCATGTGCCGTCTTGCTGCTGCTGCCTTCCTTCAGGCCTTCCAGGGGAGATGGCCACCGGTTTGGGGTGCCTCTTCGGAGGAGGTCGAATCGGACTTTTTGGACTTCTGGGAGCCCCTGGATCCTTACCATACCCGAGTCATGGGTTTGCTCGTGAACTCGCCAGCCCAGAGCCCTAGCGGGCCCGACGCAACACGGTGCGAGGCCTCGGCCCGCCTTGCCCCTCTTGGGTGTCGGGACCCCGTCCCTGCCCTGGCAGGCTCCCGGGTTCACCGCATGCTCCGCGTGCTCTCTTTCGCTTTTCCCTGCCCTTGTCCTTTCTCGTGTTCCTTTTCCTGGCGGGTGGCGCTCCGTGCACATCATCCTGACTCCAAGTCCAAAAAAGGAGGAGGAGGAGGAGGAGGAGGAGGAGGAGGAGGAGGAGGAGGAGGAGGAGGAGG